ATTCTTCTGCACACCATTAAAGCTCGTGTCGCCTTTGTGATAATGGAGCTGATGTGTTTCTTGAATGTTAGTGTTTTATCTAGTGTGATGCCCAGATATTTGACTTCATTTTTGATTTCTATCAAAGTGTTGTTGAGTTTGATTTCTTTCATGTGATCTAGCTTCCTTTTCCGTGTAAAAGTGACTATAGTTGTTTTGTTTGGATTGATCCCCAAGCCTGCACTTTTACACCATTCTTCTGTGATTTTCAGTCCCTCTTGGACTATATCGCAGAGGGTTTCCTCGAATTTCCCCTGGCTGTCAGGACTATGTTATCTGCATATCCCTGACATTTTATTCCTGAGCCGTTCAGGAATCCTGAAACCCTAACTCGATTTTAAAAAATATCAAAATATGAAACACAACATACCATTTCCAGCCAATTGATAATTTTGACACAATAATCACGGCTACTACGTTTATGGCAGTTCATGGAAAGACAAACTACAAAATAAAGCACAGAACAAACAATTTGAGCAGCTAGAAAATGTAAAAATGATTTGTTTATAGCAGATTTTTAGTTTATGGATGTATATGTTTTTTGTGAATATTTATTTAATCAGAAATAGAAATTTATATTAATATTTTATTATATAATTTATTAAAAACTTTGAACTGTAGGATAGGTAATAACAACTCTTCAGATAATAAAAAAAATGCGGTGGGTTTCACAAATGGCAAGTGCTGATAGAAAAATGTGGTTATGATTTATATGCTAAATATACTTCAACAAAACGGTGGCAAAACGAAATGAAAATCGAATATGCAAGCATAAAACAGAAAGTAATTGTCGTCAGGTCATGGTTACGAAATCCCATATCATTATAAATAACCATTGCCAAATTCTTATCGATCGACTTGTAGTTTGATACTTACCTGTCATCTTCACTATTTCTGTGTGCGTGAGAAGAATTTTTTTCACTTTTGAATGTAACTAAGTTAAGCAGCATATGAGGAAAGAACATTCCAACTTATAATTTATTCTTATTACTGATATACTGAGAGTTTTATATATTTTCCATTAATTTTTTAAAGGAAGTGAAACCGCAAGAATTAGATAACAACAGGAGGAGTGAACAAACAAGCAAACTTCTTTTCCAAGCGCAGCCATGAAATTAATAAACATGACAGCACCTACGTCGGCTCAAAGCAATTATCGCTTCAGCCATGTTTACACATTCTTGTTTATGCTGGACCATTAACTTCCCCACCCCGGGACATTTTTTTATTCTAATCAGCGATGTGGTGGAAAACCGTACGTGGAAAGCATCACGTCGGAGAACGGCTTGATTATTCATCAGCAAACAGATGCAACCCGCCCTCAGAAGTTAACGCCGTCCCGATTCTTCGGTGAACGCGGACCGTGAAACGCACTCAGACACGGTTGAAAACTTAAACACCCAGGACCGGAAGACGGAAACGCAAGAAATTTAATCTGCGGATTTCCCAGACGTGAAACGAACTCCGAGACCCGCTTCGAGTTTATTTTTTTAAAAAGAACACTGTCGACAAATAACGTTTAACAGCGTAAAAAGTTTTAATCTGCAAATATCCCATGGAAACTTCCGCAGTCTGAAAAGGTCTCTAACGAACACGTGACGTGGTTCGCAAAGCCGAAGGATGGAACTTAGGGCAGAAAAACACCATTCTGATTTACAGCGAATGTTTTCTGCTGACAGGAGATTATTGTAAAGGCGTTCTTCAACAGAATCGCACCTCCTGAGTTATATTATAGCTTATATAACTATTGTATTAACTATTATGTTATATAATTATATTATATAACTATTGTAACTACTTAAGCAACTTATATAGTAATATTATAGCTTGTATAACTTCTATAACTATTGTAACTACTTATATTTATATTATATTTTAGTCTATATAACTTTTATAACTATTTTAACTACTTAAGTAACTTATATAGTTATATTACAGCTTGTATAACTTTTATAACTATTCTAACTACTTAAGTAACTTATATAGTTATATTACAGCTTGTATAACTTTTATAACTATTGTAACTACTTATATAACAATTAATTAAGGTTTTTAGTTGAGATAAAAAAGTCAATGGAACGAGCGGGATTCCGCTGCCTTAATTAATTGTAATTAATATAAATCTGCTCTACCACTTGAGCTATCGTGACCTTGATCCACTCGGACACTAACTTCCCACCTCAACCTCACCTTTTGAATTTTCCCTCCTTTTTGCCATTTTTCGAGGTCACGATAGCTCAAGTGGTAGAGCAGCGGCGTATCTAGCCGAAGATCGTGGATTCGAATCCCACTCGTGCCATTTACTTTTTTTATCTCAACTAAAAACCTTAATTAATTGTATGATATTAATTGGCCAAGCGGACCATGAAGTTAGTGAATTTAATGATTGAAAATAAAATATACTTCACTAAAGCTCTCCGTGGCCATTTCGTTTGTCGTCGAGAATCCAATCCGATTACACGACATTTGAAAAATGGCAAAAAGGAGGGAAAATTCAAAAGGTGGGGTTGAGATGGGAAGTTTGTGTCTCAAGTGGTAGAGCAGCGGCGTATCTAGCCGAAGATCGTGGGTTCGAATCCCGTTCGTGTCATTGACTTTTTTATCTCAACTAAAAACCTTAATTAATTGTAATATATTAATTGGTCAAGCGGACCACGGAATTAGTGAATTTAATTATATAACTTAGATAGTTATATTATAGCTTATATAAAGTTTACAACTATTGTAAATACTTATGTAACTTATATATACTATATTATAGCTTATATGAACTACAACTGTTTATAGCTCTTCTCTTAAATCTTTGAATATTACTTAAAAAAGGCCACTATATTTAATGTCATCTTGGTTGGGAATAAATAAACTTTTTGGGACTTGTCTTGATTGATCATTCTAGAGGTCTTTTGTAAAATCTAGGTAGTACATGTTTGTATTTTTTACTTAAAAATAACAAGCAAATTCGCATTTTGTCATTTACATATGACAATACAATAAAATTAAGATACAAAAATAGTTGTAACAATATTGAAAATAACCAAATACAGGCATAATAAACATCGTAAATGTAAAAAATCGATAAAATCTAAATAACCTTAATATTAAACTTTAAACCTAAAGCCAAAATTAATGTTGCTGTTAGGGTCTATGTTAAAGGATTGCAGCAAAATTCCAATTTCTTTACTGAATTGAATGAAATTCCCTTTGAAATCTTGATTACATAAATAATGTTAAAAGTAATTAACTACGATTTAATGCAAAATCGATTAAATTAATGGTAAAAACCAGGTTTGACGATTGATTGGCGATTGATTTTTCAACCACAAGACAGTGTACCTTTTCGAAAATACAGTTTGGTTAAAATTTATTTTTCGGTTCATTTGGACGGTTTTTAAATGTGTATAGCGTTTATGTCATATTTCTATGTGTAAGTGTTTTGAATTTATCTTAACTTACGGGAATTAATGTAATTTATTAGGGTGAAAGGAAGCCGTTGTTCATCTACCGCCCCAAGAAAATATCGAGTACTGGGAAGTTTGATAAAGGGAAGTGTGCTATCAAGACTTTGTTCCCTTTAATGTGTAGAGAATCTGGGATGAGCTCGTTATGTATATAACCATAGTTAGACCAATGCTGTTATACACCTGTCAGGTATGGAGCTACACAAGCAACACCAACATAATGTGCCTACAAACAATTCAAGATAAATTTTTAAGGTTAATTACATCCTCTAAAAGAAGTATAAATTATATTCACGAAATTTTAAACAACCCATACATTAAGGATGATATCAAAAGGATAACTAGCTCGTTTTATGAACGTAGCGCTGAGAGTGCAAATATGACAGTAAAGAATGTAGGAAACTATAACCTCAACAAAAATTGGAAACCCAGTAGGATCAAACACATTTTAGTACGATTGTATATTTATTCACTGTGATTATTTATTAAATTGTTAATTTTACTTGTTTATATATGCATGTATTTATTTATTTACCAAATTAGTAAATGTCAGATTATGTATTGTACAAGTCTTTTCAATGATTTTAACTCATAATAATTAGTAATTATTTATTAATTTATTTATGAAATTAGCTAATATTAAAGAAATGTGTTGTTTATCAAACTTATCTATTGTACATATGTAGTCAATGACTTATGATTTATAATTTATAATATACGTAATTATTTGTAACTTCCCTATTTATTAATGTATTCTTTATGCAAGTGGTTTTTAGTATAATTTCCACCACTGTTCTTATCACTCTAGGCCAAATCAACAAATATTGTAACTATTGTATACTTAAGCCCTCTGCCACAAGGGTGTATAATGTCTTAGGCATTTCTCCTTGTAATCACTTTGTACAAAATGTATGTAAAAGTCAATGTATCTAATAAATAAACTCGAAAAAAAACTCGAGTACTGGAGAAGTGAATGCGACTAGTCTTTTATTTTTATATCTATTTATTGGAATGAATGAATAAAATAATTCATATGGTCAATTATGAGTACTAAATAAACATATTTATTTTATAAATATGCATATATTTAAAAAGTAATTTATTAGCGTGAAAGGAAACGGTTGTAACACTAGGCTCCGAGGAATACCGAGTACTCTGCGGAAGTGAATGTGACCAGATTTCTGTGTTTGTATCGGATGTTGGCTTTTGTTTTTATTGAAAGGAATGTATTTTATTGGCGTGTTTCTATTTTGCAGTTGTCAACCTGAGGGTGAGAGGCTATCATTTTAGGATATTGACTTAGTTTGCAAAATCAGAGTCTAACCAAATTGAGACGCTCAAATGGCTGCTGTTTAAAACAAGAACAAAAGAAAGAAAACACGCAGAGGGTGGCTATGACCTCAGCTGTTTGTTGGCCCAAAAACCTCCCACATAATAATATATTTGGCTGAGTAAACAGCTCTTTAAAGCTAAAAATATGTACAGAATATATAAGAAAGGTACCTGCAGCTGGAGATAATTTCGTGACTACGCCGTATCTCGGCTTCCACTGAAACAGACAAAATATCCAAATGTAAAAAAAAAATATAAAAAATGGTATAAAACTGGGAAAAACTGTTAAGAACGTTGATATTCAACAAGTGAAAGGAGAGAAGTTGTATTTTCGTAGAAATTATAGCCCGCCTCTCACGGGTCATAGATGTATAAAAAAGATAATAAAATTGTTTTTAACGAAGAGAATCACAAAGCGCGTCGGGCGGTTTAGCGTTTTCCCTTTACGGCTTTATTCTCAGCCAGGACGACAAAGAAGAATATAACAACGGTTTACTCAGACTTCAAAGTGCTTGGATAATGCGATGTCGTAAAACGTCGGGAAATGCGATAACTCGAGTTGTTTTTATGTGGGACGCTTTTTGAGATAATGCCTCTGGCAACTTAAAGGCTTAAAAGCGACAGACGTGTTTTCCGATTGAACCAAAGGAGAATTTAAATGGTGCTCTCCAGGCATAAACCGAATATTAAATTTTTTTTTTAATTTACTTCTCTCCCTGATGGCCATTTAAACCGAGCCCTAATACATAATACAAACTGTTGTTTTAACGACAATTGATCTAATTCTACCCTTACCTTAATCTTTCATTTAATGCTAATTTCATTAATACTATTGCATTACAAATTCATTATGTTTACTTTCTTCTGATTGTTTATATTGCCGTTCAAAAAACTTGAAACTCGATTTCGTAATGTAAAGTATGAAAGAATTGACTTATCTTTGAACAAAAACTTTCTTCGCATAGAAATCCTGTTTTAAATTTACTTTGTTATAATTAATTCCTTTTATATGTTCAGGTTTTAAAAACACCTAAAACGACCAAAAGGAAAATTTATTGAATATATTTTTTTTCCTCAACATTATACAATATATTATAAAGTTTCTGTTGAGAAAAGGTTAGTAATAACTGTACACAATTAATCTCATTTAATCATTTTTAGTGAAACATTGTCTAATAGCCGCAATTTCCCAATCTAACAAATCCCAGCGGCTCATCTTCATACTGGCGTAAAAGCTTTCTCCCAATCCTACTCAAATTTTTGAATGCCACCTCAATTAAAAGACCCCATATTGAACTCCCACAACACCATCCAAATAGATCAATTTGGTTTTAGATCTCTCCACTCTGCATTCCAGCATACTCAATATCTTCTGCCCTTGAAATTAAGCATTACTACTCAGCAGCTTTTCTAAATGTCTGTAGCCCTTTGAAAGAATGTGACACCAAGCTCCCTCGTTTTCAAACTAAAAAATATCCTTCCCGACACTTACTGCCTTGCTGATTGCTGGTTCAAGGTGAGAACTGAGAATTTTCAGACATCAAGCACATGAAGGTTGGCGTTCCACAGGGGAGTGTCTTAGGACTGGCACCTCTTGGGCGACACGCATTGGCGAGTGATAATAATAAATGCTAATCATAGATTGAAATGTCGTCGGAGGTTTCCCGCGCCTGGGGCTCCTCCCCCCGACGTCGTAAGGACCTTATTGGAGAAGATTGCGGGATTAATAAGATAGGCAGGTGTGTGCTAGACGTTGGTGCGAAAGGATAGATCAGGTGAATGCTCAAACATATATCATTAAGTTTTATTTCTTTTTTAAAATATATGTCCTTATTACTTGGTGAAATTCATCTCTTGTGATTTAATTTAACTACTCCTTTCTCCCTTTTTAGAAAGAAAAGGGACCTCTGGTGTTGGGTCATAACAGGACCAATCCCCTACACAGTTTACACCGCTGACATAAGAACACACCACACTCATCTCACATCCTGACCTTGCAGTAAAAGCAACCGACGACCACCTAGATCTCATCAACGATTGGTGAACTTGGTGACGCATGAAAAGCTAAATGAAGAAAAGAGGAGCCAAATGACGTTCATACTTAGAAGAAGCACCTGCTTACCAGTGCACATATACAATAAACTTACATTGAACACACATAAAACAAGAACTCAACCGAAGATAAGGACAACTCAAACGCCTTATAGGGCCCAAATCAGCACTGAGAGTGCACTATAATTTCGATCGATTGGTAAATGCTGTAGCAAGGGAGGTGGTAAAGTGTATAGCTCTCTTGTTTGATTCCTGGGTCCACAATTGCTATTGTCAGTTTGATTTTTGCGTAGACATGCCTCAGTGGAAAATTCAGCTTTCCTTACTTTTACAGAAGATAGGAATAGATCATCCGGAGGAGACTGGGAGGATGGCTTTGCAGTCTAAGCACTTTCTTCTGTATAGAACCCTTTTGGAGTCAGATATGAATTTTTATCCTTTAAGGTGGTTATTCAAGCTGAGAAGATAATTACTATTTCTCATTTATTTGCCCTGGTCCTCTCAGGGAAAGGTGTGGAATACATAAAACACTATTTGGACATACGGAGCAAGTTGTGAGGTTGAGCCAAGCCATTCAGCATCCAAATGATCCAATCCTTTGAATAAAAAAAGATCTCCATTGTAACCTCAATCACTTCTATGTCACAAAACAAACCATTCCCAAAGACCTAGACATCTCGTTCGTGACTTAATCCAAACACGATTTTACTCCAAGCTTTCCGTCTACACCAATCATTAGCTCAACACTCTCTTCAATGTACCACACTACCACGCCGCCCAAAAAGACAGTGAGTTCCTAACACAGCCACAGACTAATCAAACAACAATTGTGGTCTACAGTCGTTACTATGCCCCATTCGGGATCTTGCGATGGCTGTTAAAAACTCGTAAATTTTTTTTCATTGAAGGGATCTTAATTGGAAGATACGATAGTGCTATCATCCACATAGACGAATGTGCCTGGATGGATAAGTAGAACAGCCGTGTAAGTTGAATACAGGATGTGGATACGACTCTGAAGTATCCAGAAGCTTAACGGGATAGTAGTCAGAGAGGGAACTGTTCTACCTGAAAGAAGCGGCAAGACAGTACGATCGGAAGTTGAGTAAATAGGTGAAACGAAGGTTGCACAAGAACATCCATAAAAATCTCAGATGCCGGACCATATCAAAAGCTCCACGTGAAGGAAAGCCACCGAGCAGTCCTGTTTCAGTTCAAGAGATAAAATGATCGTATCAACAACACGGTGTCATCACTGAATTGTAAAGTGGTGTTTACGGTAGTCAAACTGAAAAGTACTCTTTTTATGGATAGTAAGATCTATTTCAAAAGGAGCTTCTCGAGGATTTTTTCAGGTAAGCTATTTATCGGGTAGTAGGACGTGGGGAGTAAGGTTGGGATATTCTTTAAATTGGTAAACTGTAACTATCATGGAATGTGAGTAGAGCATAGGGTACAATTATAAAGGGACGTTAGAAAAAGGATTGCTTTTATAGCGAGGAATAGAATTATTTCAGATATTATATGGTATTATGCAGGAGCTTTCTTTTTGTGAAGGTTTGTCCTAATATGCGCACCCTCTGAAAGAGGAAAAGCTTTGGGATTCAAAGTAAAGTGGTTGTCGTTTGACTAGAAGACTCTATGGTTTAGGATAAATTCGCTATATAGGCATCCTGCTCTTGATTTGCACAGATCATATTTAAATCAGTTTGTAAAAAGTTGGCGATAATATCACTTCAATATTTCACTTCATTTCCGTCAAGTACCGGAGTACTCGTAAATTGATTTTATTATCCGATTAAATGTGAAACATCATTAATATCCGTCGATGGTCGCCCTGAGCACTTCTTTTTCAAAGAACTATATCTCTATTTGTATCTACTGTGTACTTCATTAGAGTTCATGATCCGATTGACCGAATAGCGTTTTTCAATTCACTAATCTTTATATAAGGTATTGGTTGGGATAAAAAAATGAGTGTCACGAGCGGATCGCAGTCACGATAGATCAAGTGGTAGAGTAGCGAGGGTCGTGGGTTCGAATCCTACTCGTTACACTGACTTTTTTATCTCAATAAATACCTTATATAAAGATTAATTACCTTACAAACGTTATTCGGTCAATTGGACCATGAACTCTAATGAATTTAATAAGTAAAATGAAGTATATCTTCACGAAAGCTCTCCGTGGCTATTTTATTTGTCGCCGAGCATCAAATAGATTACACGACATTTGAAAAATGGCAAAAAGGAGAGACAATTCAAAAGGTGGGGTTGAGATGGGATACTGGTGTCCGAGTGGATCGAGGTCACGATAGCTCAGGTGGTAGAGCAGCGGCGCATTTAGCCGAGGGTCGTGGGTTCGAATCCCGCTCGTGACACTGATTTTTTTATCTCAACCCCTACCATATATAAAGATTAATTAATTGAAAAACGTTATTCGGTCAATCGGACCATGAACTCTAATGAATTACACAGTAGATACAACTAGAGATATAGTCTTTGGAAAAGAAGTGCTCAGGGCGACCATCGATGGATATTGGCTAAATACGTAGCCGAGGGCCCTAGGTTCGAAACCCACTCGTGGCACTGACTTTTTATCTCAATCAAAACCTTATATAAAGATTTACTGTGTAATTTTTTCCAAAGCTAACGCAATACCTTGTGCTTGTCGTGACCTCATCCTTTTCAGTTTCTAATAATTTCGAGCTTTTAGACCATAATATCTTAATATCACGAGAATTTCTTAAGAAACCGTCAATTGACTTAGAGCTTTTTAGCCAAAAAAATTGTTATCGCAACGTTAAATGGTACTTTACAAGAGAAGATTGAAACTGAGAAGATTGAAGAACTATTGATATACATTAAATAGTTAAATTAAATTTATTTGCAACCTTGATATTTGCGCTTTTGTCAAAACAGAAATTTTCAATACACATTAAATTACAACAAGCAAATTATTAATTGAACGTTTATCTGAAAAAATGTGGTTAGTAACACAGCAGGCGTACAATTTTTTCAATAACGGCACACGTGTGTTGGACACTCGTCCCAAGCCCTTTTCCCTATTCTGCAATCCAGTATATTTTTACCTCGGATGAATAAAAAGCGAAAATACTTGATTTTATTTCGTAATTCGTGAAAAAAACTTTAAAGGTCTACAACG